CCGGTTTTCACTTCTGTTCTGGCACAATTATCAACGATAACACCATCATGACAGCGGCGCACTGTTTTAGTAATAAAGATGCTAGAAACTTAGCGGTTGTCCTAAACAAAACCCATTGGGATCGAGAGGGATTCTGCCACCAAGTCAGCAAGCTAGTTACTCATCCAGACAGCTCGTCTGACATTGGAATCATAAAACTGGCAACGCCAANCTAAACAAAACCCATTGGGATCGAGAGGGATTCTGCCACCAAGTCAGCAAGCTAGTTACTCATCCAGACAGCTCGTCTGACATTGGAATCATAAAACTGGCAACGCCAATTGACTTTGAGAAAATGGGCAGCCATGTGGTAACTCGTAAAATGTTTTTAAAGCTTTTAATNTAAAATGTTTTTTAAGCTTTTAAAAAACTATTTTTCATTTTAGGCTTCTCCTGTTTGTCTACCACCGCGTCGAGATGACCCAGTAAACACCCAATGCATAGTCATGGGCTGGGGGAAAATAGAAGGCGGTAAAAATGCAAATCATCTAAGAGAGAGAACTGTGACCAAAGTAGAAAGAAGAACTTTTGGACATAAAGCAAGTGAAGAAGGCATGTTCTACGAGGTGGATGAGCCTACAACTTGTGGGGGTGATGCAGGTGAGGCACACAAAATGACCATTCTTTTAGAGCATCCTCTTATTCATCTCTCTTCTACCCTAGGTGGACCACTGCTGTGTCCAGTTGAAGGCAATGAAGAAGTTTTACTGCAGTTTGGAATCATTGCTTGGTTTTATGACACTGACACTCCCGTCGGTGATGATTGCACCGGTGGTGGTGCATCTTTTTCCAATGTAGCACCTTTCATTGCCTGGATTAAAAAAATTGCCGATGAATAAACTTTATAAAGTGCAATTTTACAAATTAAAGTAATATGACATATTCAAGAACTGTGAACTTTATAAACTAACTTTTGGCATTTTTCGCTACATTTGCACAATATATTCTGCACACACAGCCTTTCCTTGCAAGTCAGTTTTGACTGTTTTAAAAAGTTTTTTTTACAAAAATGAAGCACACTTTAATCCTCATCATTTTATTAACTGTCTCTGCACTTTCTATACAACCGTCAAAGTCCGACAGTCCGAAAGATGACTCCGGCCGAATTATCAACGGTCACGACGTGCCCGAAGGAAAGTACCCCTTTGTCGTCTCCCTGCAAGAGTCCAGCTCGCCCTGCCACTCCAAGGGTGAACACTTCTGCGGCGGTTCAGTGATCAATGACAACACCATTCTGACGGCGGCGCACTGCCTCCTAAAAATGGACGTCAAGAAAGTGTCCGTCCTCGTTGGAGTGCACCACTTGGACGACCACGGCAGTGGAAGTTGCTACCGGGCGGCCAAACTAGTGCCCCATCCCGAGTTTGTGAGCGGCGATTCAGGAGACACGCCAGACATTGGCGTTGTCAAACTGGAGAAAGCGATTGTTTTTGAAAAGCACAATAAAAAGGTACTTTTTGTTGTTCTCTCCTAAAAACTCGTTTAGCCTCTAAACTCTTAGCTACTTCAACAGATCGGCAAAATTTGCCTTCCCCAGCCAACTGAAAATGCAGTCAACAACAAGTGCACCATCATGGGCTGGGGACAGACGAAAAAGGACAAAGTATCACAACATTTGCAGGAGATGATGGTGACAGCAGAACGGACAAGCGAACTGAGCAGCAAAAGAAAGGAGATGCACTACAAGATTGACTTCAAAGAGTCAGGCTCTAGTGCCTGTTATGGCGATTCAGGTCGTTTTGCTT